TCCGCAAGGTCCGCCGTCGACGGCAGACTCCTGAATTTCAATTATCCCAGGCCTATTTTGTTCGGTCGGCGTTCAATCCTCGTTGCAAGGGAGCCGAACGGAGCTCACGGTTCGTCGGCCTAGCGAATTCGATTCGGCCGCAAGCCCCATCTCGGTGCCCTTATTTTTCCTCGACAGATAGTGGAAAATGTGCGGTAGAGAAGATCCAACTTCGATTCCGACTACGGAACGGAGCAAGGGAAAGGAAAAGATAGGAGAAGAGAAGCAACTCGTTTCTTCATCTATCGTCTTTCACCCAGGGAAATGAACGATCAGAAGGATGAAAGGAAATGGAAAATAATGCTAAGGCTCGCGGAGGGGGGTCCGCGCGCGCGCTTTGGTAGTAAAGCAAGCATGGTTAGAGGAAGGAAAAGAAGACGGGAAGACGCGGAGTCATGAGCGGCAGCGTGACTTTTCAGTGGGCAAGCCGAGCCATTAAGGCGGTCGCGAAACAAAGCTTCGTTATAAAACTGGAGAAATGCCAGTCACCCTTCCGATTTCTCTCCTTTGCTTCGGTACTGTTTTTTTCTCTCGTCCCAGTTCCCTCTACGCATCTTGCACTGTGTTGCGACTTCGACTTTACATTTTCTACGCGCGATGCAATAACAGATGTATACAGGTGACCTGTTTCAGGTCATAATACTCTTCTCGATGTAATGAGAAAGTACTACAGAATTATTAAGAACGTGATGGTTTGTACGTATAACGAATGCGGGGATTTAAAATGAAAAAGAAATATGTACTTTTTATATTATTTATCTAACAGGAGTACAATTGTTCAATTCTCTTCTTCGAATTCATCATATTTTCCTTAAACTTCATCAATAATGAAACGATAACTTGAAATAGTTGCGCTGACTACCTTGTATTTGGACGACGAATTCTTCAAGGGCTGGACCGATAGTTTTTCACGGCAGTCCATGAAAAACTGCGAAACGATGCCAACACCCCCACGGGACTCCGTTCTTTTTTTTTTTCTGCTTTTACTGTATGGAAAACCGTTTCGCGACTCGCGTCACCGTGAAAACCTTCGGGATACTTTTTTTTCTCTCGTTCCGCATTCCCTGGACCTCGAAAAATTCAACGTAGGGAAGAAGAAAAAAGGATTCGCTAATTGAACGGTAGAAGTTACCTGGGAGAGCTCGTGGAATTAATGAGGGAATTTTAAAACGTCCTCCCGTAAAAATGAAGCGTAAAGAATTGGATCTTCCTCGTCTCCTTCCTGTTCTCTACGCTTTTCTTTCCAAGGGAGGCATTACGAAGTTGCGAATGAGACGCGGAAGTTTTTTAAAGTCACTTTGTCACGCGGGGGACAAAGGTCGGGGCTCCTCCGAGAATAATGGATAATCGACGAGCTCCTTGATTCTCTATTACGGCGAAATAAAAGAGCAATTCGTCTCGAGGTAGACTCGAATATCGGCTTTTCATCCCTTTAGCTGGCTGCCTCGGCCCCGTTGGGAGGGATCCTTTCGTACCAAGAATATTTGCTCGTATTTGAAATTTTCCTGCAGATTATACTCCCTCTTGTTTATTTGTTTGCTAAAGTTAATGAGTTAACAAAGTAGACGAGGGACTTCTTTTATTTCCGTTGTCAATATTTGACTCAATTCTGACTATTCATACTAAGTAATTGAAAAAGTTGTGGCAGAACGTTTTCTCCGCATACTAATTACAGCAGATAAGGTTTTACAATTGAATGTCGTAACAGTTCTTTATAAGAAATTGTAATAATATTTCACACTTGAATGTTTCGTTTATTTCAATAGAAATTTTCTGTGAAATCATTATTTGTACGTCGCATCAAGAAATGAAATTATGTAACGTTGCGGTCTTTTCCTTAATGAAAAATCGATATTTTAAAGCAAACTACGTGCTTGAGAAATGAGTCGATTCAAAATTAACCGAACCTTCTGTACATTTTCTATGAAGGGAATGATTTATGAGAAGATTTAGAAACCCATGGAGGCTTTTGCACTCAGGCGATACTCGCATAGAAAATTGTGCTGCATTGAAATGGAAATCGTCGATGGCGCGGCGAGTTGCGAGAACGAGTTAGATTTTGCCCGCGAAATGATCGTCGGTTCGTCGGGAAGATAGATGGGACTCCCATGTCCTACGACGCGGAAGATTTCCCCGAGGTTTTCAGGTATACGGGAAGCGTTTGACGTACGTGGTACGGCGAGGTAAATGCGAGTTCACAAGGCACGCGGGTTCCCGCGTGGATTGAAACGCGACCGTGTCTCCGACTGTTCAGCGGCGCGCCGTGACTGCGTCCCGGCCAAGATGGACTCGCAGCCGCATGGTCATTTCGAGGAAAGCCGCAACGTTCAGGCAACAACGAGCTGCAATATACGCGAACGAACTTCCACGACACGTTTGGGAGCACCTGAATGCCGTGCATCAGTAGATTAAAGTAGAAGCACACATTGCTGCAATGAATAAAATTAGTATCCGTGTAGAAGTTCTGCTGGAATTCCGCAGACTATGATGATAGTAATATGGAATTTCGAATAATGCAGGCACGTTTTGTGACGCTGATGAATATCGATTAAGTTAGATTACGAATGGAATTGTTAAATTTCAGTAATTATTCCAGCAATTTCTCTAGAGTTTGCTACAGGGACGTATGAAATTGTACTATCAATAAGGGAAAGTTTTTAACGATCCTTGATTTTGCAAGTCTACTAAATTCTTTATCAATTGTACTTGTTCCACTATGTTCTTGCTTTTACAAGAGCAATATCGAACATCGACCCTTGACACCGGCAAATAAATTCCCGGGAAAGATGGAAAAATCCAGCCCGCCACTTACCATAAACTCTAGGTTCCTCGATTCTTTTTCACTTTTCTTCCACTTCTTGGGACGAAGGAAAAAGATACGGGTGTGGGGGACCGGTGAACGGTCTGCGAAGCGAACTTCTCTCAATTTACAGCCCGCTGGGGACAGATTTCCGTTTTAAAACAATATCACTGAAACCCGTCGCGAAACTGGGTATCGGGGACTGGGGAGGAAAGGTAATACGGCGTGGCGCGCTGAGCGTGCGTTATTTTTTCCAATATGCAAGCCGATGGGACAAGCAACCTGGTTAGGCGAATACGGGGGTGGCTTTCAGGCCATGATGTCTTCGGGTGTCCCGAGGGGCGTGTAAACACCGGATCCACTCGACGCCCTGTCAATCGTCGACTTCGAGCCTCGAACCTGCATCATCTTGTTTGTTCATCCTTTTCGGGAGTTGAGGAGAGACCTTGACTGGCCACCTTAAACGTCGAGTTCTCGAGTTTCATCCTGGCGACGGACCTCGAGAATTCGAGAAAATCGGGAGAGCCCGGGAGAAACTGGAAGGGGATGCAAACAGTGGCGCTTTGCACGTGGCGAATCTCGTGAAAGCTTTGGGAGTTCGATTAGCGTTGAAAGAGATATTTCGAAACGTCGGATTTAATAGAATCGATCGTCGCGAATTTTATCTTTCTTAGAATGTCTTTATGAGAATTGAGTTTGACTAAATGTAAATGTTTAGTTCAGATATTTAATCACAAGTTCACTAAGAATCGAGTCATAATAATCATTGCGATTATAAACATGCAAACTAAAATTCATCATCTGTTACATTCAGGACGCTTGATTTCAAGTGATTATTTTTTACTTGTGTCAAGTTTTTCAATCAGCAAATCGCAGTGCATAACGCTTGATAGCTGAAGAATGTATAATTTTTAATCGTATTAAATCATTACTTTACTTATGTAAGTGACAACTATATCAGATATATCTTTTTTTACTGGCAGGAGAGGTATTTGAATTTCAAATGCATTCGACAACATTCATATACACGCGTGTAAAATTTAACGTCTTCCCTCCGTGTAACGTGAAATGGTATCGGGCGAAAGCTTCCTGACGGATTCCCGTTGCCGAAAGCGGTACGGTGTAGCATTTCTCCGGTCGTTCCTTCCCCTCGGTCGTTTCAGGAAAAGGGACGCCTTGGTGCTAAGGAGAGTTTTTTTGTGGCTCGCGATAACCCGTCACCCCCGCGGAGCTCAGCTCCTAGTCCTACCCGCACCGAACGTTTTTTCTTGATTTAATCCAGGCTAATGCAATTCTTCATCCTTCTAGCTAAAGGCCGCCTCCTTTTTACCCGCTTCCAGCGAGTGAGTATTCTACGAAACTCGCTCCTCGAGATTACGAGCTCCATTTCTTTTCCTTTCTATCCTTGTAGCATGAGAAACGAAGAGCGAGAGAAAGAGAGAGAAAGGAGTGGCGAGAAAGGGTGGAGGTGACGAGCAATCAGCGTTTTACAATTTGCCAGTCGTCGAGTAATAAATTAAGCGGATTTCATTCACGCCCGGTATAACCGCGTTAAATATTTATATTTGCGACCGATTGCGAATAGCGACAGGGAGCCACCCTCCACTCATCTGGCCATTTGGCCGAACCGCGTGTTAAATGCTTCGTCACACCCGTCCATCTATCCTATCTATGTATACATAGTACATACTACATACCCGCCCACAAGTGATATAGGACAGTTCCCGGTCAGACAGACCCTCGTCCGTTCTTCATCTTCCCAACTATATTTCTCGCACATATCCCCAGTAAATTGTATAGTGAAAAAAAAGTAAATGAAACAGAAATCTTTTATTATAAGAAGATCGAAATAAGATTGTTCGAGGCATTAAGAAATCTTCTCAGATTTTTCAGTTAGTAAGAAAATTTTGTTTAATATTATATTTAAAAACGTCTCGTAACTTATGAACAAGAGTGTACATGCATATGTATCTGGCTATGAACCGAATGGAATGCAAAAGCATTGTTGCATGCATGCGTGGGTGGGCACGTATGCATGTCAAATCGAAGCACGAAAGCGCTGAGCAATGGTGGTCGGAATTTTACCCTCTTGTTGCTTTTTATGAAATTCCTGACCTGTCCCTACGGTTGTATGAATGATATTTTTTTTCTGTGTCATTAGGTCAGAGGAACGTCGAAGGAAGAGCGAACGAAGGGTACTGTCTCTGGCAAAAGTTGTCGATCATAAGGGAAACTTAAATGTATTTTCTTATCTCATCACGCGTTTACTTTTTCCTTGTATAACTTTATTAAATAATTCAAGTTCGTTGAATTTAATTATCTTTGATCGAGGTGGTACGTACATGGATCAACCTTGGATGGAACATCGTCCGGCTTCTTCGTTTCATCAACAGTAAGCAAACAAAGATTATAATCTCGCGTTTAATATCAACGAAGGAATAAACTATACTAGTGCCTCCATTAAACTGGTAATGGTGTCGTAGAAAAATGTGACACGTCAGCTATGATGAAACATTTTTCATTAGAATTCACCTGAAGTTTTAATTTCTGTGCTTATAATCTTTTCACATATTGTCGAATATATTTTCTTATAGTCACTGTCAAATTATCTACAATTCTTCAGATTTCTATTGTAGAATAATATCATTTATTCTGTTTGCAAAATAATTTTACGTATAAGATATTCGAGTTTGAATAAAATACCAATTGCCCTCGTATTCACAATGCACAGTTAATTATATATTGAAATAAAAGAATCTGTAGACGACAGCTAATAAAGAATGAAAGCACGAGGCATGCATAGTATGAAAATAATGATTTATAAATGCTAGCTGATGTCATACGCTACTACGTCGTCGTTTGGTTAAGGATGTATTGGCTATATAGTCAATTCCAAAAGTTTATGTACCTTGAAAAACGCATTTCCTATAATTAAAAAGAAATCAGACGTTGGAAGAATAATGCTAATAATAAATAGCTACGTGCTAAAAAGTATAGAAGGAAATATCCAATTAAGTATTGACGCTG